ACACACACACACACACACACACACACACACACACACACACACACACACACACACACACACACACACACACACACACACACACACACACACACACACACACACACACACACACACACACACACACACACACGCACACACACACACACCATTGAGCTTGTGTTCCTTGAACGCCAGGCATGCCCGATACCACAAGGCGAGGTTCTGCAATCACGGGCACCCCAACGTGGTACAACAACAGCGCATGGTCAGTCTCATGGTGCTCAAGCCCACCCTCCTACTCCTCACCATCCTCCTCCATTCATCACCCACCCACCAACGCACAACTCACCTCCTCCACACTGGCCATAATCGCTTGTTGTTTTGTTGCGATGAAATGCACGCCTGGATTGCCTTGTTTGCTGTGTTCTGCCGCATTGCCGTTTACTGACTGATGTGAATTGAACATCCTTCCTCCCCTTCTCTGTGCAGACACACAGACCCACCTCCACGCCCCCCCCAACACACACACAAAACCTACTACACAACGTCCTCACCCACCGCCCTTCTCTCCACATCATCACCAGGGTCGCTGACATCGTTGGAAAACGCCGCATACCCACGACCACCGCCGCCGCTACTGCTGCTGCCTGTGCTGTCACCCCTGCCTGCCTGTCTGTACCCCGTGAGCGCATACACGCCCCTGTGCCTCATCCGCCTTACCGCACGCCCCAGCGCCCGCCAGCCGAGCGTAACGCGGTCAAGCCTCCCTCGCGCGTCGTCCACGCGAACAGAGAGCACGTACCCGGCAGCCATCGCCGTGCCCACAGAGAGGATGAGGCCAACCCACTCCGGATACGCGCCAAACCCAACTGGCAGGTCACCGAGCATGAAGCTGCACAGCGCGGCTAGCAGCGCATATGGGGCCTGCGTCACCACGTGCGCAGTGAGGTTGCACCGGCAGGCGATGGAGGAGAGGATGGTGGTGTCGGATATCGGGGAGCAGTGGTCGCCAAAGACGGCGCCCGCGAGGATGGACGAGATGGTGCCGTACACAACAGTGCGGTCGCAGGGGGCGGCCTGGTGTGCAGCAGGCAGGATGAGCGGAAACACGATGCCCATCGTGCCCCACGACGAACCCGTCACAAACGCCAGCACGCCAGAGAGGAGGAAGGTGAGTGCGGGGTATGCGCCCGCCTGCACGCTGCCGGCGAGCGACGCGCTGATAAACGTGGCTGTGCCGCACAGCGTGAAGGCAGAGCCCACCGCCCACGCAAGCAGCAGCACAAGCACAGCAAACGTGAGGCTGCGCACCCCTGCCACCCACGTGTCCAGCGATGCCTGCAGGCACATGATGGGCGGGAACTTGCGCGCAAACCACACAACGTTCCCAGCAACGTCCACCCGCTGCGCCCACGTCAGCAGCCACACCGTCAGGGTCCCCAGCACGCTGCCGTACAGCAGCGCATGGTACGAGTCGGAGTTGCCAAAGATGTGCTCACCAGAGAGGGAGAGGCCCAGCTTGCGACACTGCTCAACACCAGTCACCACCAGCGCAATCACCACCATCACCGTCGTTACGATGACGGGCACGGCCGCGTTCCACCACCGCTTGGGCGTGTCTGGATTCGGCTCAAACTGCTTCAGGTCCTCATCAGCATCACCACCACCGCCCTCACCCCTGTTGTCGTTGTCATCATCGTTGTCGTTGTCGGTGGTGTGGGTGTCGCTCGCACCGTGGTTGTGAGCAGCGGCGCTGCTGCTGTTGTCGATGAACGTCATGTCCTCATAGTAATCATGACGGTCGTTGTTGTTGCTGCTGTTGGTGTTGCTGCCGTGTCCGTGTTGGCCTTCTTGTCCACCTGTCCTCGCCACCACACCGCCACTACCAAGCGTGGACGATGCTGACGATGAGGACGAGGGCGGTGACGTCACGCCGGACATGAGATGGGAAGTTTCGTCCGCCGCATTCCCTGACGCAAGATGCCGCGTGCTGCCGGTTTTGCTGGGCGGGCTGGTGCGTGCGGAGACCGACACAGGCGTGGTTGCACCGCTGCTGTGGATGTCAACAGATGTCCATGTGTTTGGGGACGTGGAGCCAGACACCACTCCCTCTTCTCTGCCTGCCCTCTCTGCTCTGCCTGCTCTCGCCTTACTCTGCTCTTCACCACCATTACCGCGCCCATTCGCAAAAGCAGCCGCGTTCTCACCACCATCATCGCCGTCATCGTCGCCGCCATCACGCTCGTCCCCCAAGATGGGCGCAGTCTTGCTGTTGTAGCGGCCGCGCATCTTGCGCCGCCGCGTCGATGCCGGCAACGCCTTCAGCCCCATGCGCACGCCATCCCTCTCACCACCATTACCAATATCACCGATATCACCACCATCACCATCACCACCCATTACAGCACCATAGCCAGCGCGACGATCACCACCACCACCACCACCACCACCACTGTCACCACCACCACCACCGCCACCAGCACGACCGCGTACACGCGCCTTTCGTTCCGCAGCCAGCATGGGCCCAAACTCTCGCTCGGCGATGACAAGCAGCAGCTGCAGCGCAATCATGATAAACGGGTAGTAGCGGCCAGGGATGGTCTTGACGAAGATGACAAATGCGCTCGAGTCGTAGCACGTGACATCCTCGCCAGTGGACGCAAGGTCGCGAAGCGTGTTCTCGATCAGGCTCAGCTCAAAGCCGACCCACGTGGAGATGGGGGACACGGACGTGACGGGGCTGGACGTTGCGTCGACGAGAAAGGCCAGCTTCTCCCGCGATATGTGCAGCATATCCGTGATGGGACGCACCGTCTGTCCGACGATGAGCGTGTTGGCGATGCCGTCGAAGAAGATGAGCAGCCCCAGCACCATGGTGACGACGGCGCCGGCGCGCGGGGTGCGCGCGTAGCGGGAGAAGGCGCGCACGAGGCCGTCCCCGCCGCCAGACTTGAGGATGCACGCGACCATGCCGGAGAGGAACCAGGTGAAGAGGAGCACCTCTGCGTGGCCGCGGTCTGCCAGCGCATCCAGAATCATCGTGTCAAAGGAGCGCGTGAAGGCGGCAATGGGGTTGAACCGGTAGATGATGAAGCACGCCATGAACACGCCCGTGTACAGGCTGAACAGCACGTTCCGCGTGAACACCACCGCGGCAATGGTGAACAGCGGCGGCAGCAGCGACAGCCCGCCGTAGATGACGTGCGTGTGGAACGACAGGGACGCCACCTCCGTGGCCGGGTCGCTGAAGTTGCTCTGCAACGCCAGCTGCAGGTGGTAGGTGTGGTAGCCGACGTCCCTGTCCGAGACGGCAAAGGTGCGGTGGGTGTCCAGGGCGTTGAAGACCGGGTCCACCGCGGAGAAGTTGCCGGCGGAGACCACGTGCTTGTGGCGCACGACTTGGTAGTAGATGAGCGTCTCATTGGTGTATGGCGTGCGCGCAGGGTCCCAGGAGAAGTCTGCTGTGAAGGTCCACGGCTCGCTGCGCAGAGCAACCACCGGCGTGTCCTGTATACTCTCCAGCACCAGCTGTGCGGCAGTGCCAGGCATGCTGCCGAGGAGGCCAGCAGCCACAAGCACCACCACCACCATCATCATCATCATCATCATTGGTGGGGTTTGCGTTGTGGGTGATTATGTTATGGTTGGTTGTGGGTGTTGTTGCGCCCTCCACTCCTTCTTCTGCTTTGGAGGTCTGCTGAAAAATGGGTGAATTCATACACAAATCCTCCACAACTGCGTGAATTTGACAGGGAATGATGATGAGGGTCGTTGGTAGTGTTGTTGTTGTTGTTGCTGTTGTTGGTGTGTTGCTGGTATTAGTGTTGTTGTTGGAGTGTGTTGGTGTTGTTGTTGGAGTGTGTTGGTGTTGCTGTTGGAGTGTGTTACAACTTCGCATGTGTTGCTTCGTGCTTGTGTGTTGCATGGTGCTGCTTCCCTGCAAGCACGCAAACGCCCACATTGCAATTGAGCATCAGTTCACTGTCTCTCTCTCTCTCTCTCTTGGTTTGAGGGCAACAGTGTCAACAAACAAAGCGAGCATGGCGCACATGCTGGCTGGTGTCACATTGACAAAGAACAACGAACAACAGCAGCACACGCACACAAGCGAAGGGAAAGGAAACAACAGCACATGAGAGAGAGAGAGAGAAAGCAAAGGATCACAGCTAGAAGGAGGAGAAAGCAACAATGAAGGGCAAAATGAACGACATGCACGTGTGTAATGCAAGTGTATGTGTGTTTGTGTGTGTGGCGAGTGTGTGCGCGTGCAAGAAAGAAGACACCACAATGACGAATGACGACACGAGCAAGTCAAACAAGCAAACAAACAAACAAAACCAGCAGACATGAGACGAGCACGCATGCTAAAACAACAGCAAAGGTGAAACGGGAACAGAAGAACGACGAACAAAGAACGACGCGTGAGGAAAAATGTACAAGTGCAAACAAGCAACGGTCAGCAGCAAGAGAAATTGTGAAGGGTATGATTGATTGTGTAAGTGTGTGTGTGTGTGTGTGTAAGTGCGGCTGGCTGTGTATGTGCGGTTGTGTTGTGCACTATCCTGGGTTGAACAGGGTGACAATGCACAGTGGGCATGGAGAATGGCCTGAGATGGGCAATGGGGGGGGGAGTGAGCGGGGAGTATGTGACAAACAACAACAACAGCAGCAGCAGCAGCGGCGGCAGCAGCGTGTTGTGGTGACGATAGCACACACGCCTGCCAACCCGCCACCATTGCCATCGGTGTGCAAAGTGTTGGTGTCACAATCAGCTGCTAATCTCTGTCGATTCCTTCAGGATCTTGACATACAGCGCCAGCCGCTCTGCCCCGTTCTCCTCGCACACCACATCCGTCGCCTAATGGTGTGTGCGTTTGTGCGTTTGCGTGTGTGTGTTGTGTGTATGTATGATAATGTCAGTTTGTGCGTTTGTGTGTGTGTGTGTGTGTGCGAGTGTGTATGATAATGTCAGTTTGTATGTGGTGCGTGTGTGCGCGTGCACGTGTCAGTTTGTGTATGTGTGTGTGTGCGTGTGCAAGGTCACAATGAGCGGCGTGCTGGTCAGGGTGCCTGCAAGGGCTGCCGTGAATCAGCACATTGACACGACACACGTGTGCACGCACTCACCGCAAGCGCTGCCGGGCACGCGTTGAAGGAGCAGAAGCCAAGCGTCGCCCGCTCAAGGGCCATCTTGTCGTTCACTTCGTCGCTGTACACAACAACAGGCTCCTGCCACACGCACAGGGAAGGGGGGGGGGAGAGGCAACGGGGGTGGTGTAAATTGCAATGTGTGCGTGTAAGAGTATAGATGTGTGAGTGGTTGAGTTTGAAACGATGGAGGACGGGGCACCAACTATCAACGCTGGTGGGCACAATACGGCCACTCATTCACCAATGACCATCGACGAACCCCTGCCCCCACTACACTCCACGCCACTGCACAAGACACTGGACCCCTGCACAACACCAAAACAACACCGCGCCTCTTCTCCTGGTGTACCTCAAACTTGTCGGCCGCGGCCTTGACGGCGTCTGCGAGGACGAGATCGGGACCCGCCGCCAGCACGGCAGACTCGAGCTCCATCGCAGACACGCACTCCTGGTGGTGTGTGACAGAGTTGGAGGCGGTGTTGGAGGTGAGCAAGAGGTGGTGAGGTTGTGTTGGAGGTGAGAAAGATGTGAGAGGCGCATGTGTCCGTGTCATACGAAGTAGAACATCAGCACACACAGAGACGCAAAACACAAACGGACAACCTCTTCCCTCCCCCTCCTCCTTACAAACACACACCGCGATGGTGCCTGAGCTGACGAGCATGCGTGTGTGGTCGAGGTTGATTGGTTTTCCGACGGCGACGGTGGTGAGCTGTGCAATGTCCCGCCGCGCATCCACGCCGGGACGCAGCAGCACCAGCAGCCGGAACCCGAGGGCCACCACCTAAGGAGGGAGGGATGGTGATGGTGGTGATGGTGATGGTGATGGTGATGAGGGCTTTGGTGGTTGCATTGCAGACAAATCAACACACAGACACAGACACAGATGCAGACGCAGACACACACACGGACACACACACGGACACACACACACACACACACACACACACACACACACACACACACACACACACACACACACACACACACACACAACTTCTCTCTCGTCCCCCCTTCGCGCTCGCCCCTTTCATCGATGAGTTCGACAACGACAGCCAACAACGCACCCTCTTGATGGCAATGTTGGTGCGGTTGATGTTGGCTGGCGTCGCCGTGAGCATCACCGTCATACTCTTCACGCCACACAGCGGAACAAGGCGGTCTGCCTGCTTTACAGACATGCCGAGTGTCGAAAGTTTGCCGGCAAGTTTGGCAACTTTCTTCTTGTCGACGCCGCGCGGCAGGCGCTGTGCGGGCGGGGGGATGAACAGCGAGGGCCGTGTTGCCGACAGCGTGCACCGCTCCCCTGGTGGTGGCGGTGATAGTGATGGTGATGGTGATGGTGGTGTCGTCGTATGGTGGGAGAGTGGTGTGAGAGTGGTGTGATTGGAGAGGTTGGGACATATGTGGTGGTGTGATGGTGATTGTGAGGGAAACAAAAACAACAATAACAACAACGACAACGACAACAACAACAACAACAACAACAACAGCAACAACAACGACAACAACAGCAACAACAACAACAACAACAACAACAACAACAACAACAACAACAACAACAACAACAACAACGACAACGACAACAACAACAACAACAACAACAACAACAACAACAACAAC